AATTGATTAAAAATACAATCAAGCGTGATTAAATAATCGGATGTTAACTTTACTATTCTAACCTTATAAATGCGATAAAAAGATTTATATAAATAAAAAAATTCATTTCATTTTTTTCAACAATAAATTCAGCGTTTAGAATTTGGCGATAGTTAATCTTAAATTTCAAATTTAATATTTATAAATCATATTTCTTCCATGATAAAAGACTTATGGCATTATAATCAAGATTTTTATTTATATTATTTTTTGTAATCTGATTCTTTTCTAATCAAAATTTACCTGTAAAACGATGTAAGCTATTTTTTTAAAGTAAATTCAATTTTGTAATTGGTTTAATAGAAATTAAGATTTATCTTTACACATTAATTAAGAAATCTTTAAATCTAAAGAGAAGCAAAAACTAAAACAATTAAGAAAATAATTTCTTTAAAAATATAGAATAAATTTTTAATTTTGATTAAATTAGTTAAACACTAAACTTATTTCAAATATTTTAAGAATGAGTAAGTAAATAAATTAATTATTAATTATTTGTATTCCATTTTTATATTAAGCAATTTTTAATACTGTAAATAAATTTATACCCCTATTTAATTAATTAATTAAATTGTAAGTTAAAAACCCAAATTAACTAATATTAGCCTATTTATTCCCTTAGATAATTTCTAAAAATACAAAGAGAAATTATGAATAAATAGACTTGATGAGATTATATAGAAATATAAATGAAATTCATAGAAAAATTTGATTTTTTGATAATTTAAAATCTAAAATATAATTTTAATTTAAAAATATTAATATTAAATTTAATAATAAAAGAAAATCAAATAACTTATTTTTTGTAAATATTTACTAATATAAATTTATCTTTTTTTATTTTATTAATAATAAAAAATTTATATTTCAATTTAAATTATATTTTTTATCAAAAAAAATATGTTTAACCAAAATTTATCTGATTTTGTTTTAGTATTTATTGTAAAAATTTATATTTTACTGAATAATTTGAAAAAAATAAAAATAGATTTAGAAAATATTCATATAATAAAACTATTAATCAAAATACAAGAATTACTTGGGAAAAAATATCTGTATTATCTTATTATTAATTAAATTTACATAAATAACTATTCAATATTTTTGTAAAAAAATTAAATGATATAATAAATATAATATTTTAAAAATCTAGAAGAAGTAATTATTTATTTATTTATTAATATTATTTAAATTTAATTTTTTTAATAAAATAAGTTTTTAAGCTCTTCGCATTAATCGTTTTAGGTTCTTGATATTGATCTACAAAACAAGTAAATTTGATTTATTAATAATATTATTAAAATTTGTGTTTTTTATAATTTTCATCTTATTTACAATATTATTTTTCTAATTAAAATATTATCAACATCCATTCAATTTTATTTGTAAAAATATTTTTGAATTATTTTAACTTAATTTTAATTCAATTTTTATTTTGATTAATATTTATTTATTTATTTTTGATATTTTATTCTAACTAACTTATTAAATATATATTATATCTTCATATTAAAAAGTAACAAATAAATTGGTAATGAAGATGTATTAAGCTTAGGTGCAGGTTTAGTAAAGTGCACTAATCTCTCAAATTTGACACTTAATCTTTAGTAAAAACATTTTATTTGATTTAGATTATGATATTTTTGAATATAAAAATGAATTTAAAACAATATAATTAAATAACTCTTTAACTTATTTATTACTTTATTATTTGGTTTATTTTTCTTTTTTTATTCTGTGTGTGTATTTTTTTATTATTTTATGTCTTTGCTTGTTTATTTGTTAATTGAGCTCATTTTTCATTTTCATCTTTTACTTTTATTATTAATTTCTCATTATTTCATATGTTTTTGGGGGAGGGGGAAGGGGGGATAGCTAAGTAATTTTCAGACTCACTACTCATTAGTTTTTAAATTAATGTAGCAGCTCCCCCATATCTAGAGTACCACTTAGTCACCTACCCCCCCCCCCCCCACCCTATTTTTCCTTGTAACTAACTAACTAACTAACTAACTAACTAACTAACTAACTAACTAACTAACTAACTAACTAACTAACTAACTAACTAACTAACTAACTAACTAACTAACTAACTAACTAACTAACTAACTAACTAACTAACTAACTAACTAACTAACTAACTAACTAACTAACTAACTAATTAACTATATATTTTTTCTTTCATATTTAAAAAGGAATAACTAAATTGACGATAGAATAGAATAGAAATACTCGCACATATAAATGCACTCAGAATACATCTTAAAATTAATTATATTTTATTTTATTTTATTTTATTTTATTTTTTTTTTTCATTATAATTTTTTATATATTTTTCTTTATATTATTATGTATTTATTAAGTGTTTTTATTTTTTCTTTTTCTTTTTATATGCTTTACATATAAATTGACGATAAAGGTGCATCGTGTTTAGGTTATTACTTAGGATTATGCACTAATCTCTCAAATTTCACACTTTATCTAAAGTAAAAACAATTATTTGTTTTGGGTGGTGATATTTTTAATATAAAAATAAATTTAAAACAATATATAACTCTTTTAGTTTATTTGATAGCTTTTTATTTGATTTATTTTTTTTGTACTATTGATCTGTTTTTATTTATTTATTTCTTTGTTTTTATTTGCTAGTTTGACTAATTTTTACATTTTCAACTGTACTTTTATTATTATTTCATAATTATTCTTCATTTTTTTTATTCTAATTAACTAATCAACTTTATATATTTTCTTCAATATTTAAAAAGATCGAGTAAAATTGGCGTAATTGGTGCATCAGGCTTAGGCCATGGTTTAGGAAAGAGCACTAGTCTCTCAAATTTGACACTTGATCTTTGGTAAAAGCAGTTTATTTTTTTTGGATTGTGATAAAATGAATTGAAAATAATATAACTTTTTATTTGATATATTTTTCTTTTTTTATTCTGCTTATGTTTTTTATATTTATTTATTTATTTATTTATTAATTTAACTTATTTTTTCATTTTCAACTTTTGTTTTTTTATTAATTAATTTTTTATTATTTCGTAATTTTTCTTTATTATTTCCCTCAAATAAAAAAATTTGCTAATTTGCTATATTTTTTTTCTTCAATATATAAAAAGTGGAAATAAAATTGGTAATTTAGCTGTATCAAACTTAGTTTCTGGTTTAGGAAAGTGCTCTAATCTCTCAAATTTGACACTTTATCTTTAGTAAAAACAGTTTATTTGTTTTGGATTGTGATATTTTTTAATATAAAAAAATTTTAAAACTATTAATTAACTCTTTTAATTTCTTATTTGTTTTTTTATTTGATTTATTTTTCTTTTTTTTTAATATTCATTTCTTATTTTTTCATAATTTTTCTTTATTTTTTCCTTCTAAATAACAAAAAAATTTACTCTATTTATTTTCTTTAATAAAAAAAGTGGAAATTAAATTGGTGATGAAGATATATCAGGTTTAGGTTTTGGTTTAGGAAATTACACTAATCTATCAAATTTGACACTCGGTCTAAGGTAAAAACTTTTTATTTGTTTTGGATTTTGATATTTTTGAATATAAAAATATATTAAAAAAAACAATATACCTAATTTTTTTAATTTATTAATTAGTTTTTTATTTGATTTATTTTTTTTTTATTACTCTATTTGTATTATTAATTTATTTGCTTTTTTGTTAACTTAGCTCGCTTTTTCATTTTCAATATTTGATTTAATTATTAATTAATTGATTTCTTATTATTTCATAATTTTTCTATATTTTTTCCCTCAAATAAACAAATTTATTATATTTTTTTTCGATATATAAAAAGTGGAAATTAAATTGGTGATGTAAGTGTATCAGGCTTAGTTTCTGGCTTAGGAAAGTGCACTAATCTCTCAAATTTGACACTTGATCTAAGGTAAAAACAGCTTATTTATTTTGATTGTGATATTTTTGAATATAAAATTAAATTGAAAATAATTTATTTTACTATCTTTTTTTATTTAAAATTTTATCATTTTATTCATTTTTTTATATTTATTTATTTGTTTGTTTGTTAATTTAACTCATTTTTTAATTTTCAACTTTTAATTTTATTATTAATTAGCTAATTGATTTCTTATTATTTCATGAGTTTTCTTAACTTTTTCCTTTTAACTAACTAATTAACCATATTTTTTTCTTCAATATGTAAAAAGTGCAAATTAAATTTATAGAGAAGGTCTATCATACTTAGGTTCTGGATTAGGAAATTGTAATAATCTCTCAAATTTGACACTTGATCTATGGTAAAAACAGCTTATTTATTTTGATTATGATATTTTTGAATATAAAAATAAATTGAAAATAATTTATTTTACTATCTCTTTTTATTTAAATTTTATCATTTTATTTTTCTTCATTTCTTCATTTTTTTATATTTATTTATTTGTTTGTTTGTTAATTTAATTCATTTTTTAATTTACAACTTTTAATTTTATTATTAATTAGCTAATTGATTTCTTATTATTTCATGAGCTTTCTTAACTTTTTCCTTTTAACTAACTAATTAACCATATATTTTTCTTCAATCTATAAAAAGTGGAAATTAAATTTAAACAGAAGGTCTATCATACTTAGGTTCTGGATTAGGAAATTGTAATAATCTCTCAAATTTGACATTGAATCTTTAGTAAAAGCAGTTTATTTGTTCTTGATTGTGATATCTTTAAATATTAAAATCAATTTCAAAAAATTTTTAAAAATTCTTTTAATTTATCAGTATTTTTTTTAATTTATTTTTTTTATTCTGCTTGTGTTTTTTATTTATTTATTTATTTCTTTTTCTGTTCATTAATTTAATTGATTTTTTCGCTTTCAATTTATTATTCTTCAATATTTAAAAAGGATGAATAAAATAGGAGCAAAAGGCGTATCATTTTTATGTTCTGGTTTAGAAAAGTGCGCCAATCTCTAAAATTTGACACTTTATCTAAGGTAAACAGTTTATTTGTTTAGAATTGGGGTATTTTCGAATATAAAAACGTATTAAATAAAAAGAATTCAACCAATATTTCATATTTTTTCTTTATTATCTCCTTCTAGCTAATTAATTAAATATTATTTCTACAATATTTAAAAGTTACAATTAAATTTACGAAAAAGGTGCATCAGACTTAGGATCTGGTTTAAGAAAATGCACTAAAATCTTAAATTTAACACTATATCTTGAGTAAAAAAAGTTTATTTGTTTTGGAAATTTAAAAATCAATTTAACTATTTTAATATATCAGCTTTTTATTTGATTTAATTTTCTTTTCATTATTTTTTCTTCTAACTTTTTTTTTTTTATTTATTGGTTAAAATATAGTATTTTATTTAAAAATTTTATTCTGTCAATTTTTATTAGTAATTTAAACTAATTTATATTAAAAAAAGTAGACATCTCTAAAGTTCATAACTATTGAAAGTAAAGTGCCTTAAATCAAAAAGATTAGTTGCCTTAAAAATAAATTATTGATAATATAAAAATGGTGAAATAGCAAGAATAAATATAAATATATTTGAGTATTTTAATATAATATTCTTTATTTTATAAAATTAAACTAAAACATTGATAGATTTACTATTATTTTTATATTGATAATCCTAATATTGAAATTCTTCTGACTGAGGACATAAATAATGTCAACTGAATTTCGATAAATTTTTATTTAAATTGAATGCTAAGTAGTTAGACTTTTTGCTTTTTTATTTTGTTTATCAGAATTTATCTGAGAGATCTACCTGTGATTGTATTAAAAAAAAGACTATTCATATTTTATGCAAAACAAATTTTTTGCTTTAAATTAGCGCTAATTTATTTACATAAAAATAAATTAAAAGCCGCAAATTAATTGGTGATTAGGGTATATCACAGTTATCTTCTGCTTTAGCTAAATAAACTCATTTATTATCTTTGACACTCTTACTTAAGTAAATATTTTATTTAGTATTTTATTAATTTTTTTTTTTCTTTATTTTTAAGAAAATATATTTAAAAATAAAATTAAAAAGCAAATAATATTTTATTTATGAATTTATAATTATCACTCACTCATTTATTCATTTATTTAATAGCTTTTTATTTATTTATTCTTGTCTTTTTTTTATGGGTTAATATTCTGATACTACTTTTTCAATTTATCAAATATTTTTTCTTATTAAACATCAAATTTATCTGAACTTAAAAGGGAGAATAAAATGAGTGAAAAAGGTGTTGAAGACTTAAGTTAAGCTTTAACTAAGTGTGTTAATCTCTCAAATTTGACACTAGACCTAAGGTAGAAATATTTTTTTTAAGATTTATTTTATTATTTATTTGTTGTATTATGTTTGAAAGAAAAGTAATTAGTTTGTAATATAATTTACAATATATTTAATTAGTTTCAATTTATCTTTTCCCAACTCAAAAATTTGTTTTATATTAATTTTATTCTTAAAATCATTTTTAAATATTTGTTAAAATTTACTGATATTTATATAAATTTTTTAATCAATACAAATAAATATATT